AATTATGAATATTTATTTATTACGAATATTTTAAATATTACGAATACTTTTACGTAGCACGTTAAATACGTTTTCTCAGTGTCCAAATATTTTTGGCAGCAACTTATACACGTTCCTCGACCAAGATTTCAGTTTGTGTGTACAACGTTCTACGACCCACGGGACACCACGAGGAAACAAAACTTCACGAGTTATTCCCTCGTTTCATCCTTATAAACATAAATGGTCGGGGTAAAAAAAAAAGAAGAAGAACCAACGTTACCGCGTGGTTAAAAATAAAACGAATCTATATCCCCCCGTTACACATTCTAACGTAACAGCGAGACAAACTTCAAACTCGTATCGTCCTCGAGTTTCGCCGATAATGGCACACAAACACTCCACACGATCATGAATATTCAACGCTTACTTCCGATCAGCCAATTCGCTGGGTCGAGCGCAAACATGCTCGATCATCGACCACGATGATCGTTCCCGTCGATCTTTCACGTGGATCGCGTCACCATCGCAGTTCCTCATTCTTCATTTCACGAGCGTGTCAAACGAGACACACGGCTCGTCACGACGTGAGGAACTGTTCGGCATAAATAATAATAAAAAAAAAAAAACGATCGGATACACCGTTCGCGTGTGTCACACTGTGATGTACACACGATCTCAGTAGTCGTCTGTGAACGAACCAAGCGAAACGGAACTTTTTCGAATGTACGCGCTCCCGATGTGAACGCTACGACGGAACTCGTGCCACTGATACGCGACCCCCGATAACACCGATCCTACAGAGTCACTGCGCATGCGCGGCGCGGTGCTCCTCTAGCACGTGGCGAAGGTTATCGCGGAGGAAAGTCCGTCTTCCGGTGAGAGCATCGATCGATCGATCGATCCACGATCTGCGACGCACAAGTGACAGAAATGCATTTTTTCACTCACGTAGAATTCTTTTTTCTTTGAAATAAAGATTTTTCAAATATTTACTGCCACGATAAATGCAGATTAATCGTAATTTTCTGAATTAGAATCGTCACATTTTTCGCGAGTTCGTGCAGTTCGGAATTTGGAATATCTCATAGTGTTCGGAATAGAGCGTAGCTCCTTCGATCGTAACGATTGAAGGCGTCTGGTAGCGCGAGAAAGCAGGCCGGTCGATACCATTACCGGGTTAGTTATTCAAACTTCTGCAAGTTTTAACGCATTCCGAGGGCCGAGACTTTCAAGGAATGTTCGAGTACGAACACCACCTGGGGCGTGTATCATAAATCTTAGACACGTCGTTCCATCGACTCGTCTAGAATTCTCCGTTTAATTGAAGAAATTCGGATGGTGTAAAGTAAGAAACAAACTCACCTCTAGTCTTTCGGTAGCTTTCAACAGTCTGTCGTAATCGACAGATCCCTGGACAGTCAGCAATTCCATCATGTAGTCAGCTTCCTGAACCGATTGCTGCACCATTTCCAATTGTCTCTCGAATCGTCTCCACAAACCTAGCCTGTTGTTCAGCGCGGCAAGCAGGCGACTGCATCTGGCCTCTAAATTAGTGTGCGTGTCCTGAAGATTGGAAATGTCTCGTTCGACGCTGACCGGAGAGACGGAAACTCTCATCCCGGTGGGCAGAGTGTGCAGCATTTGTCGAAGTCCCATGATATCCTGCCACAGCATCGCCAGTTCATCAGCGACCGTTTGACATCGTTCAACAGCTGCTGCTACAACGTCGCTTCCCTGTCGTTCGCTTCCCTCGCACTGGTCTAACGTAGCTGATTGCCGTTGATGAGCTTTCCTAACGCGGCTCAGGCCGCGCTGGATCGCCTGAAGCCTTTCCCTGAGCAACTGTGCCGCGTCCAACTCCTCCCCGATCTGATTCTCTATTCTACGAGCCGCGGACAGTAAAACGCCGACTTTCTCGCTCTCCGCCACCGGAAGTAATCCGAGACGACCTAATTCGTCCTGGATGAGGGAGATCCTGTCAAATAAAACGGTTAATCTTTCGATGTACAAATCTAACTCCTCTCCGGTCCTCAGAACACCGTGGAAACCGTCGATCGTCATTCTCAGTTCGTTCAATTCTCTCTCGAGCAGTTTCAACTTCTCGTTCGACGAGATTTCGTCGGAAGAGATGCTTCTCGTCACTTCTTCCTGGATGTTGCGGATCTGTTCGGTCACGTCGCCCCAGCGATCTTGAACCTCGCGATGGAACTGTCTTTGCAGCATCTCGTCCGACAAGGGAATTATTCTGAGTGCCTGTTCGAAGCTGTTGTTAGCTTCTTCTCGGATGTTGTTGTGGACTTCGTATTGTGCTTTCAATTCCTAACGAGAGAAGAGCGACGGACGGTGTAAGACTGAAGTTTACGATTCTGTGGGATATCAATTGTGTCCGAGATCACTTACCCAGAATTGTCGTATATGACCTCCGGAGGGATCGCTGAGTTTGCTCAATTCCTTCTCCACCGTGGACATCCAGTTTTCTAATCGATTCATCAAAGCTTCCTGATTACACCAGCTCTCTTTAAACGCCATCAATCTCCTCAAAGAAGACTCCACGTTGTCTCGAAGCTTCACGATCACGTCTAAAGCTTCACCGTAACAATCCTCGGGATCTTCGATGTTCACCAGATCTTGGAGGCTTTGAGCAACGTTTAGAAGCTGAATGAGCCTGGCGTGATGCGTCGCCACGTCGGTTACCAGAGACTGAAAAATGAAATATCACGTATGCACGATGCAATTCTCCGGAGGAAATCCATACGCGTTAAATATTCGATGTCAGACAATGTTACATAAACGTTAACACGAATTGATTCACACCAGTCGAAAAATAGACTACCCTTGTAAACGGAGAAGAACTCACCTGATACAAGGAGATGTACTGATCGTAATCAGACGAGGTCACCGTCTGTAGATCAGGGACTCGTTGATGAGCAACCTGAAGCCATCCTCTCTCCTCCTTCATGCCTTGTTCCAAGAGGATCCATCTAGATGCAGCTAGCGCCATTTGCTGAGCCCTGGACGCAGCTTGATCCAACATAGACGTAGCTCTGCTGTGCAGTTCTTCGTGAAGATCGGAGTACTTGGTTCTCGTTTCTGGGTCCAAGTTGCCTTCCAACGATTCCAGGATCGCTCGACAGTGATTCAGATTCACGAAGAACTGCCTGTGCTTCTGCATCTCGTCTTGAAGATATTCCAACCCCCTCACAGATATAGGACTCTGCAGCCTGTTCTCCGCAACTTTGGTGGTATTAGCAAATTCTCGAAGGGTTTGTTCGTATTCCTCAGCCAGGGCTAGTAGCTGATAAAGACGTTCGCGTTCGATGCATATTTCGTGTTCGATTATTTTCGTTGTCTCGTGAGCTGCGTAGGTTTCCTCGGGAATGTGTTTTCCAGGGTAATCGCGCAACAGTTCGTGCGAGGTAGCGAGCAGCGACGCTGTCTTCCACATGTGACAACGATTTGTGTTCTCCAGTTCGTCGAGCATTTGAAGCTTCCATTTCGTGGACGCTTCCTGCTCGACCACGTCGTTCAACAGTTCGCGTTCCTTTTCGATCAACCTGTTGCAACAATTAAGATAACACGTTGTAAACTTACCTCGTTCAGTTTGTTCCATCGAACTACTTAAGGAGAGAAACGTTACCTGTACATCTTGCTCACTCCGTTAACAAATTCGTCCCACCTGGCTAGCTCGTTAGTAAGGTACTTCTCGCCGTCGTTAGTCGCGTCCTCGATCATTTTCACCTGACGCATAAGAGCATCGAGGCGGTCCTGCAAATCGTTACGAACCTCTGCTGGATAATTCGTCTCCACCAACTTCCAGATGTTCTTCAACTCCTGTATATTCTCCTCGACGTTCTCCACTTCGTCCTTCAGCTCCATGTAGGTCTGGTCGACGTGAGACGGGCCAGATGGACACTCTTTGCTCAACAAGACTCTGTATTTGATTGTCTCCAACCAGGTAGAAATCGTTTCCACGATAACGTCTAAACTCTCCTCCAATGCAATCGCATCCTTCTCCTGAGCAGCTTCTCTCAGGTGAGACAATTCCTTTCTCACATCAGCTGCACGCTCCTCGACCAATTTTTCATCGTTCGCCATTTTGTCCAAGTAAGCTATATGAAGGATATTTCCTAAGTGACTCGCTTGTTTCACGTTTCGAAGAGACTGCATTCTGTCGGTGATAACTTTGGTGGTCTGATTGCTCTGAGTGATCTGATGCTGAGGCTCGAACTCTCTAGTCTCAGCTAAGAGGAAGGCCTTCGAACTGGCACCCTTCTGTGGGACAGTGTGAGTCAATTCCCAAGAAGATTGGTCTTTCTTGGAAGATTCGCTGATTATGTCCGCGTAGGTTTTGATTTTAGGTCGTTCCTCCTCCACTATCGCTGTCTCGACAGGTGACAGAGGTTCCTCTGTGGTGTCCATTGGTTCAGGAGAAGGCAAAGACGAGTCCACCCTCTCTTTGCTCAAGCTCCACACATCCTGCGTCTCTTTAACAGCCGTTGGTTCCGTCGCCACGACGAACGGCGTGGTCTGCACGCTTTCTTCGACGTCGTCGAGCCTCTCTGCTTGCTCGGAGACTCTCTCCAAGTGAGCAGCGTCGCCTGGGGGAGACTTCTCTTTGCCCACGTTTTTCTTAGCCACGTCCGAGTAAGACAGCTTCAAAGACACGTCTCGGGACTCGACAGGCTGTCCAAATATGGATTCCAGCTCCTTTTCACCTGGCGTGCTGATTTCGATGGTCTTGTGTCTCCTCTTTCTCTTCTGTTTCTTTCCGACGTTGCTATCGTCTAGTTTTTCTGTGGTGCTCAAGTCTTCGGTGACGGTTGTGTCTTGAGAAGTGTCGGTTAATTTACTGGCAGCGTCAGTTGTGCCGCTAGACAATTCTATCGTAGCTTGCTCAACTTCGATGTCTACTTCTTTTTCTTCTATCAGAGGAGCTATTGATTCTTCAGGTTCTAACTTAACTTCGACATGTTCAGAGGATTCCTGCAAACTTTCTTCCACCTTTTTACACTCTTCTGGACCAGACACCTCCTCAGCTTCCGCGCCTCTCGTCGTTCCCGAGTAATCCTTCGTTTCTTGTACTTGTACATCAGGTGCTACTGGAATTTCTGTAAGCTTCAGAGGAGTTTCTACGTCTATCCGCGAGTCCACCACGTCCATCGTGGCCTCTATCACGTTCCCTTCTTCGTCCTTAACTACTACGCTCATTCTCTCGTCTACAATTTTAGCTACTCCATTCGTTTGCTGAGAACTCGTCACCAGTGACGGTTTCTCGAATTCGATAATCGTCTGCATACCATCCTCCCGAGTTTCAGGAATACTTTGCACGCTCTCTTCGACCTGAGGAACCAGCTCACTCGTCTTGATCTGTACAGAGCTGTCCAACGTTTCTACTTTGTCCGGAGTGATGGTCTGCGACTGCTCGTCCATAGACTGCTTAACTTCTTCTAGGCTAGTCTGAGCAGAGAGATCGCAGACCTCTACTTTGGAAGAAATGGTAACTGGACTGGTTTGCATCGTAGTTTCCCTGGTTTGTTCACGTGAGATAGTCTGAGATTCTGTTTCTTGAGTAACAGCTTGTCGAGGACTCTCCTCAGGAGTAGTCTGAGTTTCCACCACTTCCACGGAAGGCTGTTCCGTCAAATCTGCTTGGGTATTGAAGTCTAGCGTGATCTTTTCAGGTGAGATAGTCTGAGATTCTGTTTCTTGAGTAACAGCTTGTCGAGGACTCTCCTCAGGAGTGGTCTGAGTTTCCACCACTTCCACGGAAGGCTGTTCCGTCAAATCTGCTTGGATATTGAAGTCCAGCGTGATCTTTTCTGGAGTAACAGGTTTACTGGTTTGTGCTTCTGTTTCGATTGTTTTCGGTACTTCAGGGGTTATGGTTTGAACAGCTATACCACTTAGAACCTTCTCTTCGAGCGGCGGAGGAGTTGTCTGCTGCTCAACGGCGACGACAATCTTCTCCGCAGTCTGAGTCTCCATTTCTGTGGAAGGTGCTGTTGGTGAGGTTTGTGCCTCCATGGAGATCACTTCCGTAGCTACAGTTTGAACGTGAATCTCCTCAGTTTCCGCTGGAACAGCAGCTGGTTCGACGTCTTCGATCGGACTAGTTTGAACAGCGTACTCTTCCATTTTTATAGTAGGCGTTTCCAACGTCTGAGTGCTTACTTCTTCTATTCGAGGCGTTTCTTCCGCGACAGTCTGAGCACCGAAGTCTAACGCTTTCAACGGAGAAGTCTGCATCTCGGTGTGTTGCATGCTCGGTTTCACAGGTTCGAGCTTTTCTTCGGGAACAGTTTGCATGCTGAAGTCTAGGACAGGTAACGGAGACGTCTGCATCTGTGTATGAACCTCTTGTATCTTAGGTGTTTCAATTCTCTCCGGTTCTTCCAGTGGAATCTCCGGTGAAGTTTGCACTTCTTCGTGAACTTCTTCGATCTTTACAACGTCAGCTTCTTCCGTCAATTGTGGCGACGTTTGAACGTAAATTTCTGTCACTTCTTCCTGCTTGGGTGACGTAGCAACGGAGACCTGGAATTCTCGAGGAGCAGTCTGAGTGTCTGCCTCGTTCAACGTGGCGGCTGCTTTCTCGGTGTCCTCCCACTTCTTTTTCTTCTTTTTCTTCTTCGTGGCCTTCGCGTCCTCGCTTTCCGGCGGTGTCACGTCGTCGGTGAACTCTCCTTCGTCTGTGGTGGTTTTCGGGAATTCAGTTTGCTCCTCGTCTCTGGTGCTACGCATCCTCTGCTTCCTCTTCTTTCTCCTCTTCGTTCTCGTCACGCTATCGCCGTCAGGAGTAGTCGTAGACACCATAGTTCTATCCGCCTCGTAACCATCCTCACCTTCCGATGTTTCTTCCTTCAACGACAATTCCAACTCCCTGGATTCAAGCATCTTTGTGATATCAGGCTGAGGTGCATCGCTGACGTTCTTCGAGGAGTCTGACAGAGGAACGTCGATCTCCATCGATTCAGCAATGTTGGATAGAAGAGACGTGCTCGATTTCGTCTCCAAAGACTTCATCGGTGATCCAATCTCTTCTTCGGTCTTTCTATCCAGGTCTACGGTTGTTTCTACTTCAGGTTTCACCGCAGGTTCGACGCGACACTCGTCTTCCTTCTCTGACGTGATCACATTGTCAGAGGTTTCTTCCTTCTCCGAAGTGAAGATGGACTTGTCAGTCTCCTCTTTCTCAGACGTGACGACAGACTTGTCAGAGGTGGCTACGTCTTTCTCCGAAGTGAAGAACTTGTAGAGAGGGACGATTGTCGGTTTGACCAACTGTGGAGACGTTTGGACTATCTTGTCGTCAGAGGTAGCTACGTCTTCCTCCGAAGTGGAGAACTTGTAGAGAGGGACGATTGTCGGTTCAACCAACTGTGGAGAAGTTTGGACTATCTTGTCGTGGATCACAGACTTGCTCTCTTTGTCTGCTGGTAGCCTGATGTCTACGTCCTCTTTCACCATTCGATAGGGAGTTCCTTCTGGTTCGGCTTGACTCTTCACAGACACTGTAGGCTGTATCTCTTCACCTTCCTTTCTCACAGCCAGAGATATCTCGACTTTGTGGAAAATTGGTTTGTATTCTGGTTTCAGAGCTTCGTCCATGAAACCGTCCACCGAATAATCGATCTCAGGGATGAACGAGTCTTTCACTATCTGCTGCTTCACGTTAATCGGAAGAACTTCCGTTTCTTCTTTCTTTCTCGCCTCCAATGGTGTCGCAGACTTCTCCTCTTGCACAGGCTGTTCTCCTGAAATTTGAACCGTCTTTTCTACTCCCGCTGGTACGATTATTGCCGAAGAAACAGGCGCCTCCGTCGTCGTCGCCTCGATCGAAGGTTTTCCCTCTAGTACATCTACGGTGCCAATTGTGTCTGGGTGCTTTTCTACATCTACCGTGCGACCTTCTAGCTCGATACTGGGTGTTTCGCTGGTTACTGGTGCATCGACAGACTTACAGGTCGCTTTAGTTACGCTTGCCACGTCCTCCGATCCGGTCAACGATTCAATCGGAGACTTCGCTACTTCTTCCTGTACCTGTGTCTCGCGTATCCTGATCTCTTCGCTTGGACTCTGCAAACCAGCCGACACTTCAGCATCGATGAACGCCTGACTGGCCGTACGAAGGGACTTTTTTCCATTTACCTCAACCAAGAAATGCTCGTGCTCGTACTTGTCCACTTGCTCGGGCTTCTTCTCGACGAACTCTTGCTTCAGACTCTCCTCTGCTAGTTCACTCGGTACCAGCGACTCTTCCGGACTCTGCACAGGTTCTTCCTTCTCTGCTGGTTCCTCCAGACTCTCTACGATCTCTTCCACTCGAATATCCGCATCAGAAACATTTTCTTCTTCTGTTACAACTTTTTTGCTATCCGGTAAGATTTCTTCTTTCTCTGGCTCCAAAAATCCTATACTCGGATGCATGTCCTTGGCAAACGCACCGAAGAACGGTCCCTGCATAGGAGTCTCGTCAGTCACAATCTCCTCGTCCTTCTTACATTCTTTGTCAGTGACATCCTCGACTGTAACACGATCTACAGCCTTTTCCTCGACCTGTCTTCCATCTGGACCAACGTATCGCTGTTCTTCCTGCTTGATCACGTTGATACTTATATGCGGTATGTTCTTCTCGTCGATCTCTATCTCTTCAGGCTCTTCTATGATCTCCTCTGTAGTTGTCTCCTTACCGTCTATAATTGTAACCTTCCTAATGATCTTCCTAGTTTTTCTGACCACTCTTCTAGTTACCTGCTGCACAACTGCGTGCACGCTCGAGGTTTTCCCTTGGTACTCACCTCCTTCCATCAAAATACCCTCCTCTAGAGGCTGAGGGCTGATATCTCTGATATGCCCCTGTGTAACCGTGTGTGTGTACTGTGGAGCAGATTCGTATTCCTCCACGTTCACATCCTTGAAAGGAGTGCCTGTGGCCACTCTGCCACCGTAAATCTGCTTGGTAGTGGTCTCTATGGTTCCGTTAGGCTTCATGGTAGTCATTGTCACCTGCTGGTCCCTCATGGTAGCCTCTGAGAAGGCTTGCACCACAGAAGGAGCATCTCCAATCGCGGTGGACATCGAGGATACGTGTTGCTGGGTGGTTTGTCTACTGGTCACCGTGGTTCGTCTCAATTTCCTCACAATGATCCTCTTCGAGCCATCTTCGTCTACGACGACCTCTGTGGTCACGTCGTCAGGTTCTACGAGGACAGTTTCGAAGGACTGCGGAGCTGCGTGAACGATATTCAACTCGCTGGTGGTGTTGTCGGTGTTCGTTGGATCTTGGTACTTCATATCGACGACTATGTCGTCCGCTATCACATCTGGACGTTCTTGAACGACTTCCTGAGTGGAACTCGTCGGTAGATTCTTCGTGGCTATCTCGATCACCTCGTGATCACCTTCGGTGGTTTTCACGATTGTTATCGTTTCCTGAGTTGTCGGAAGAGTCTCGAGGGTAGGATCCGTAGTTTGCGTAGTCAACGAGTGACATACAGCCGGTACGATTTGGTTGGTGGAGGTTTGCTTGGTGAGCTGTTGCGGTTTCTCGACAACGTCGTTCGCCAGCAAACTCTGTCCTGTTTGCAGAGAAACGTCAGCGAGAGATGGCATGCTACTACTATCGAGGGACGAGTGAATCGAGGGTGCCTGATCTAGGGTAGCGTCATCTCGGTCTGACGTTTCGTCGGCTCGCGCTTCTTCGTCGCAGATCTCCTGGAAAAATCGAAGAAACGATTCTATGTTCAAGACTACCTGTTCTCACGTCCCTCAATTTCATTATCGTCTTCTGCTGCAGGTTAATTGTCTCTTTTTCTATTTACTCTCTTATTCTTCCTAGTACACTTTGTGACTCGTTACATCTTGCGTGTACTGTTAGAGATTCTTGGTGAGTAGAATTTCGAAAACAGAATGATGTTTTATATTTGTGCGTGACATGTGACTGAGAAGCTCTAATGGAGAAGTTTAAATTTTGCTACGCTCGAAGCTTGTAAATTGAAACGTTCGTAAAGGAAGTTCGAATTTTCGTTCAACAGTCGAAATGTCTGTTACGAAACGCGACAGAACGGTGACGTAGGTGAAAGAAGAAGCGCCCGGTGGTTTCGAGGTAGCAGAATTTAATGCGTCGATTGTTAATGACAGCACCACGTTAATCACTGGTTTGTTACGTGAGATTCGACATTGGTTGTTACATGATTTTCATGGTCCTTGGCTATTTCGATCGGTCTAGCGGCACCTGCATGATGTACGATGGATACGGAGACGGAAGAATTATTTAGAAAACATGATCGTCGAGGAGCGAGAACGAGAATATTCGCAGGCAAGAACACTCCGCGTAACACTGTCGTATTTTTAGATACGAAATGTGAATGCTACGTTCGACTTTATTTTAATGCGTTTATTTTTGCCACGCTAAGAGGTTTGTGTGTGCGTGTATATATATATACATAAATATAAAAAAGAAAAAAAAGGTGTATACATAAGAGAGAGAGAGAGAGAGAGAGAGAGAGAGAGTCGATAATTTATCCAAACTGTGAACGTGTACACATTTAAGCGAACCAAAGTATACAGAGCGACTACTGTTGAGAAAAAAATAAGAAAAAAATTCAAGAGAGATAACGACAGAGTTGAAATTAGATCGAAGTGGAAAGAAAGAAAGAGAAGAATAATTCTTTTTTCGAAAAAGTAATAATTCGTCGTTATTTCCACACATACACATATGTACACGAGAAGATACACATATATACGCAGATCTTCTTGGCGGTAAATCGGGGGATAAATAAAAAAGGGGGGAAGATGGGGATTAATGAGAATACTTTAATTACAGCATGAAAAAAATTACAGAGTAATTGTATTAACATTCCTTAAACAAAATGCTGCGCCTATACAATTACATCCATTACCTTAAGCTAAAGGAACATAAAAAGTGCGTTATATGTAGTACAAATAAATACACGATGAGATTTGTGAGAAGAAAAAAAAAAAATAAGTACGTTTGGTGCGATGAAAAATGTATAAAAAAAAAAAAAAAAAGAAAAGAGAGAGATAAATGATCCATGTGTGTTGAATGTTTCTTTCTTTTTGTGGTGTGATGCGTCAACAAGCCCAGATGAGAAGAGATTATTAATCGCGATGATGAAGAAACGAAGAAAAAAAAAAGAAAGAATTACACACGTGTAAATTGTTCGCAAAAACAACCTTTATCCTTGCTCCAGAATTGACCCATTGAAGCAGCGAAAGAGAAAAACCAAAAAAAGAAGAATGTTACATGCTTGACTAAAAAATACGTCTATCACCCTGCTCCCGTCATTTTTTCTATGGTACAATTCTCCCCCATATACGTACTGTGTACATCCGTGTTACTCTTGAAGAAAGGAGAGACCTCCCCTTGCTTCGATGCAACAGATCGAACCAATTCTCTCTTTCGTCTCCCAGAATAGACTCGAAATCGACTACAAACTGTGACCTTTTTTTACACGTTCAAAATTAATCGACGACGTTACGTCTGTTTGCATATGTATACATATAAGTATACATGTACAAGAGGTGCGACAGATATTTGCCGAGCGTTTCTTTTTTTTTTCTTTTCTTTTCTTTGGCATCCGTTATATGTATATCTTTCGATTTTTCACCGATTTATTAATCGCGATGATCGTGTGTGTGTGTGTGTGTGCACATTATTCACGAAATCGTTGCACGAAGACGTTGGATACCTGCTGCCTTTGCTGCAGACGCGACATCACCTCCAACAGCGCATTCTTCAGGACCTTTGCCAGCGTGCTGATTTCTGGCAGCGATTCAAGCTCCGACACCCGTTGCGCGTGACTGCTTAGCTCGTCCTGCAAAGCCTGTCCGCAGAGGGACACAGACACAGACATATGTCGTTTACGTGCGTGATCGTTTCGATGTGGGTCCGGCTTAAAAATACACCGCGCGCGCCGCCATTCTATAAACGGGGGATTACGAGATCGCGCGGGAGAGCATAGGAACAGGCCCGCGGGTTGCCAAACCGAACGATACTCGCGATTTTTAAGCGCGAATCTCTCGACGATCCTTCGATCGATAATCGGGCGATAGATATTGAAAGATTGCGGCGTTGAAGCTTGAAACGTTGAAATTTTGGGCGATTTTCAGTGGAACATTGAAAAGTGAAACGTTGCAATTTTGGGCGATTTTCAATGAGATATCAAAAGGCGAAAAGTTGAAATTCCGGCGATTCTCAGTGAGATGTTAAAAAGCGAAGCGTTGAAATTTTGGGCGATTTTCAGTGAAATATTAAAATATGAAACGTTGAAGTTTTGGGCGATTTTCCATGAAATATTAAAATACGAAACGTTGAAATTTAGGCGATTTCCAATGAAATATTAAAAAGCGCAACCTTTAAATTTGGGCGATTCTCAACGAAATATTAAAAGGCGATACTTTTAAATTTGGGCGATTCTCAACGAAATATTAGGATTGCGAAAAGTTGAAGTTCCAGCGATTTTAATGAAAGCGGATGAAAAAAGGGGGAATCAAGAAATATTTGATTCGAATGTTTTCTTTTTTCATAAAGATCAATTAACGTTCGTTTAATTGGCAAAATAGTTCATGTGTCAAATATTCTTCGATTCTCTGTGTACAGCCGAGCGTTTTATTCTACCACCACCAAAGTTAACTGAAAATAAAGTCTTCCCTTAACGTGGACGCACCTTGTTCGTGGCAATCGGTTCTTGCTCCTTTATGCCCGCCACGATGTTCTTCAGCCAGGCGTCAGTCTCGTCCAAGAATTGTTTATAGACGTGAATATCGTGGCCACGTTGCTCGTATTGACTCCGTGCGCCCTCCAGGGTAGCACGTCCCTGTTCAGCTTGCGTCAACAGGGTGGAGATGCGAGTTTGAACTTCCGCTAGATTCGACAGAAGCTTCTGCGCCTCTGTGTCCGCTGGAATTTTACGTAATTCTTCCTCCATCTGATCAGCTTCTTCCTTGTAGTTTCGCAGATCCGTCAGTAAGTTCTGAAAATAATCGTCACGCCTTCGCTTACCTGACAACATCACAATTTCAACGCATTTCTACGAAAACGCCGTTGGCACAAATTGCACAGTTCGACGGTAAAAGAAAAAAATGGTAAAATATTCCTTCTTTACTCGTTTCTCACGTATTTTCTCACCATGAGCGCAGACAGCATGGAGTCTATGCTATCTCGTGGCAAGTAAGTTCCTTTCAGGTTCGATATACTCAGCTGTAGAACCATCAGCCGTTCCTGTATGATGTCCTGTAACACAGGAACGAATTAATCAACGTCGGGGTTAATTGAAACGGCGAAGAAGAAACTATGACGTGCAGATCAGGAGCTTCAATCTCAATCTGTTAATTAATGGATTAGGGGAACTCGTCAAACCTTGAACAAACTGTAACATGAGGGTAGGCAAAACGTGTAGAAAAAAGAAACAAGAGTCTGGCATAATTGTAAATTAGGGAACTTCGAAAACACGATCATCATGCAGGTTCGATAAAAAAAAAAAAGGGGGGGAAAAAATAGGGGTTAAGAATACGTTATCGTAAAAACTACAGGGTTTTTCAAAATTTACATTGTATACGTTAAACCTTCGAATCGGAAGGAATATTCTCTCTTAGACGTCAGATGGTAAGAGAGAAAGCTGTAAAGAAGTATAAGAAAAATCGTAGATTTTTTCTAAAGAGGGACAACGTATCGAATACTTCGTAACGTGTCGCGTGGCTACGAACTGCTTCGTTAAACGGGACGAAAATCGTTCTAAAAAGATCATTTTTCGCCAATTTTTCACGCGGGAAGTTCAAAAATGTCGATCTACTTAAACCGCAACGCAAGCCGAAAATCAAGTTACGCTCGTGCACTGCTGAAAAACTACTTAAGCATGCATGTCAAGCAAAGAAAGAATAGAAAAAAAGGGAGAAGAGATTCTTCGAAGCAACAGCGAACTAATAGGCGTTAACAGTAGCGATAGCCAAAAACAGCGTCTAGCAAACAGTGAAAACGCAAAGAGTCAGCGAAGTAGAGATAGTACGAGATCACGCTGGAAGGTAAGTAATAGTACAGAGGTCGAGAAAAGGTGAGAAACTGACCGATCGGGAAGAACAGTACACTTACAGAGAAGGAGACGAAAGAAGAAGAAAAAAAAGAAGAAAGAAATAGAGATAAACTTTCCAGGTCACAAACAGTTACAGGAAACACCTGTGCCAAGCACACGCACTCACACACACACACACGCGTGTTACTTAATAGGTAAATAGTAGACATACACGCGAATCCAACACACAGAACAGAACAGCAATAACAATAATTAATAATAATAATAACAGTAACAACAACAAGGACAGTGAACTCTTTTGAAGCTCGATCGGGTAAAAAATCGAGCGCTGCTTGTGTCGTGATCGCACCTTGATCCCTCGTATCCTCTTATCAGCCTCATCTTCAGCTACCTCCATCTCTCTCTCCGTCTCCACGATTCGAGCGTGCTGCTGCATCGTCGATCCTTTTTCTATACCTAAATGTTCCTTAGGATCTGGACCGTGGTCGGTAGGAGTGTCTGGTAACGAGGAGAAATCACGTGGATCGGAATAAGCGGAGGATTTTTGGTCTAACGTCGAGGATTCTTCGCCAGAAATCGACACATCGACGACAGTGGATCGCGATTTTCTCGCCTCGGAGCTTGACGACGACGATGGAACAGACTCGAACGCTAATTTCGACGATTTCTCGTCGGTTAGAACACAAACAGAGGACGACGATTGAGAAACAGGTTCGCCGACGGGATAGGATAAATCTGACACAGGTTCCTCGATCTTTCCCTGAATCACACCTGTAGACAACTGATCCGTTCTCTGCTCGTTTTCGCTCGACAGGTAAGTACTGTAATCGCTCCAACTACCTATACCACCGGGAAGATCGGCGATCAAACGTTCCGTCTGCGGTCCGCCCATGAAGTAAGAATTCAAGGGACCGCCGTTTCCACCGCGATCGTTCAAACTACTACCATCGTGATCCCCGTCGAAGTTGCCCGGATCGTTCGAATCGTGATTGATACCGTCGGCGGGACTGTCTTTCGGGTAATTAGCTAAGTTCTCGAACAGGTAGCGTTCAGCTTCGTGATAGGGATGTTTGTCTGGCCAGAAGCCGCTATCTAGGGAGAGGAATTTCGAGTTGCTCAGTTCCGAGAAGGTTTTCAAGATCAGAGGAGTTTGAATTGGTTTCTTCTTCTCGGGACTTAGAACGAGGATCTCGTCGGCTATGTAGAATTGAACCTTTGGTTTGGCCGGTTCGATCACGATGTCTACGGTTTCTATCTCCGGTTCGCTGGATATACACTTTTCGAATTCTTCTTCGGTTTCGAGTTGGGCTTGGATAGAGTCCAGTGTTATGGGAGACTCGATTTCGTCGAGAAGAGTTTCTACGGGGATCTCGTCGGTGTCTTGGATTATGCTTTCGAGTTCTTTCACGATCTCTGGCTGGATGTCTTCCAGTTCTTTCGGTTTCACTATTTCTTCTATTTTCAGGATTTCTTCTTGAAGTTTGCCGTTTATTATCACTTCGGCGGACTTGATGATTTTTTCGGGTACTAATTCGAGTGGAATGATTTTATCTTCTTTTATTTCTATCGTTTTCTTCAGCGGTTTCTCTTCGATGATCGATGGTTTGGGTTTGGGTACCTCTTTTGGCTCGATCTTGGTTCTTTCTTCTTCAGGTTTGTCTTTCTTGTCCTTGGGCTTCTCTTCTTTCTTGGGGGTTTCTTTCGCAGGCGGAGTGCTGGGAGGTTCCTCAGTTTTCTGGGGAATTTCCACTTTTTCGTTGTCTTTGAGAAGTTCCTTCTGTGTTTCTTCTTTTACGACGATTTGCTCGGAAACAATCTTCTGTTCGATTACATCTGCAGAAGCGTCTTTGTCTTCTTCCTTAACCTCAGGTAGCAGTTTCTCTTCAATCTCTACCTTTTCAGGTTTCGTATCTACTTTCACTGTTTCTTCAGGTATTGTCACATCTTTTCCTAGATCAGTTACTTCCTTTGAAGTATCTGGAGTTACTGTGGCAGAAGAGTCTGTGCTTAAAGTAATAGAGTCTGTTTCAACTTTGGGTGGAGGTATTTCTTCAGATGCTAATTTCACTGGTGTATCCTGTTCTTCTCGTTTACCTTTCTTCGCCTGTTTATTTTTACGTTTAGATTTTTCTTTCGAAGCAGGCGTTGATTCCTCCTGTTTCATATCTTTCTCCATCTTATCTTCTGATGGTTTAGATGTTTCTACCTTTTCTTCAACGATAGTTTCATTTTTCTTCTCTTCTTCTGCAGCTGGTTTCGGTGCCTCTACTATTTTTTCAGTTGGTTTCGGTGGTTCTACCTTTTCTTCAACTGTTTTTGGTACTTCTACGTTTTCTTCAGTTGGTCTCAATGGCTCCACTTTTTCTTCAACTGCTTTTGGTATCTCTACTTTCTCTTCAGTTGGTTTCGGTGGTTCTGCCTTTTCTTCAACTGTTTTCGGTACTTCTACGTTTTCTTCAGTTAGTCTCAATGGCTCCACTTTTTCTTCAACTGCTTTTGGTATCTCTACTTTCTCTTCAGTTGGTTTCGGTGGTTCTGCCTTTTCTTCAACTGTTTTCGGTACTTCTACGTTTTCTTCAGTTAGTCTCAATGGCTCCACTTTTTCTTCAACTGCTTTTGGTATCTCTACTTTCTCTTCAGTTGGTTTCGGTGGTTCTGCCTTTTCTTCAACTGTTTTCGGTACTTCTACGTTTTCTTCAGTTAGTCTCAATGGCTCCACTTTTTCTTCAACTGCTTTTGGTATCTCTACTTTCTCTTCAGTTGGTTTCGGTGGCTCCACTTTTTCTTCAACTGCTTTTGGCACCTCTACTTCCTCTTCAGTTGGTTTCGGTGGTTCTGCCTTTTCTTCAACTGTTTTTGGTACTTCTACGTTTTCTTCAGTTGGTTTCGGTGGCTCCACTTTTTCTTCAACTGCTTTTGGCATCTCTACTTCCTCTTCAGTTGGTTTCGGTGGTTCTGCCTTTTCTTCAACTGCTTTTGGTACTTCTACGTTTTCTTCAGTTGGCCTCAATGGCTCCCCCTTTTCTTCAACTGCTTTTGGTATCTCTACTTTCTCTTCAATTGGTTTCGACGGTTCTGCCTTTTCTTCAACTGCTTTTGGCACCTCTACTCTCTCTTCAGTTGGTTTCGGTGGTTCTGCCTTTTCTTCAACTGCTTTTGGCACCTCTACTCTCTCTTCAGTTGGTTTCGGTGGTTCTGCCTTTTCTTCGACTGCTTTTGGCACCTCTACTCTCTCTTCAGTTGGTTTCGAAGGTTCTATCTTTTGTTCAACCACTTTTGGCACCTCTACCTTTTCCCCAACTGCTTTTGGTAGCTCTACTTTTTCTTCAGTTACTTTCAGTAGCTCTACTATCTTTTCAGCAGGTATCTGTGGCATTGCTTTATCTTTAGATGGTTTTGTCTCTTTCTTGGGTATTACTTTAGGCATAGTTTCAGGCGCAAGCTTTATTTCATCACTGAGTAGTTCAGCAATGGCTGTGCTTAATTTCTCCTCTTTAACTTCTTTCTTCTCTTCAACTTTTTCCTCAGATTTTGTTGGTTCAGGCGAAGCAATTTCTACAGGTATCTCTTTCGGCTTTTCTTCTTTCGGAGTTGTAGGAGCAGTAACTGTTTCCTCTTTCGTCTCTGGTTTCTCGTCTTTCAATTTTTCTTCACTGGCTGCTCGCGAAACTGATTGCTCTTTCTTCTTTTGCCTTCTCTTCTGCTTTTTCGAGAGCTTAGCCTTTCCTTTCGCTTCAGCCGGTTCCTCTTTAGCTTTCTCTTTTTCTTCAGTTGGAGATTCTGGAGTCTTGGGTGACACTTCTCCAGGTTTTTCTTTTATCTCTTCTTTTTTAGGTACTTCTGCCACTACTGGTGCCTCTTTCTTCTCTTCAGCGATATCTAATTTGGAATCAACCACTTCTTCCACTTTCTTTTTGCTTATGTCCTTTTCCTTTGCGTCTTCTTTTACTTCTTCTATCGGTACTTCTTCTTTAATTTTAGGTTCAGATATTTTCTTCTCTTCAACATTTTTCGCTCTCTTATTTTTAGACTTCCCTTTACGCTTCTCAGGTTTCAATTCTTGGGCAGGTTCAAGTGTCTTTTTACTTTCGATTTCAGGTGTTGCAGGTGCTTTTACCTCTTCTTGAACTTCTTTCACTTCCTTAACTTCTTTAACTTCTGATTCTTTCGCAGGTTTTACGTCACCTTCTCTCTCCGATTTCACTTCAACTTCTGGTATCACAGTTTCGTCTTTAGGTTGCTCCTTATCAGACCTTCCTCGTTTCGACTTCTTATTCTTCTTCGAACCACCAGCAGATTGCTCTTTCGTTTCCTGTTTCGGTTGTACTGCTGTTTTAGCCTTCGTCTTATCCTCCTCAACAGTTTTATCTGCTTCTGCAGCCTCAGACTTCGCAACCTGCTCTTCTTTTTTCATTTCTATCAGCTTATCTACCTCTTCGGACTTTTCTTCAATTTTCTCTACAGGAGCTTGAACATTCTTCTTACTTTCCTGGTTCAGATCAGAGTCTTTACCCTTCGACTTGCCCTTACCCTTCCAAGTATCTTTCTTCTCTTGCTGTTTCTGAGCTTTCTGTTCAACCTGTGGTTCTACCTTCTCTTCCTCCACTTTCTCTTCACCTTTCACCTTGCCCTTTTCTTTTTGAGGTTTCTCTTTACCCTTTCCTTGCTCATCTTTCGTCACTTGATCGGCATCTGCACCACTTGCTTTTCCTTTACCCTTCTCTTTCTTAGATTTCTCCTTTCCACCTTCTTTTTCTTCTTTTCCTTTACCTGTCTCCTTCTTTCTCTGTTCCTCTACTTTCTGTACATGTTCCTTCTTCTGCTCTTCGCTCAGAATATCTTCAGGGATTATAGGCTTATCACTCGACTGTCTCAAAGCACCTTCGTCTCGCCTAGCACTTCTAGATCGCGATCTAGATCGTCTAGAGCGCAATTCCTTTCGATTCACGAACTCCATGAAGCCTTGTTCGTCGACTTGAACCACTTCTTCAATTTTCATCGGTTTCGGAGCATCTTCAACGACGATCTGTACTTGCGAAGGCGAACGTTCACTCGGTTGCTCTTTTTTCACGACGACCTTTTCGACAGGTGACGATGGAAGACTATCGGGTGATTCGACGTGCTTGCCAACTATGGTAGCCCACGAATCTTTCGTTTTCTCTGCTGCTTCAGCTTCCGTGACAGTTTGCGCAGAAGATTTCGTGGCGATTTCTTCTTGCTCGATCTCTTCCACCCACGAAATTGGTTCTTCTTTGAACGAGTCCTTTTCAACAACTTGTTCGTCGATTTTCTTGTCTGTTGTTGCAATTTCTTCAGGTTTGGATGTTTCTTCTTTCGCTTCAGGAGCTTTTGTGCTTACTTCGCTCTTTTGCGAAGCCTCTTCGAGTGTCACTTCCTTGTCTTCGGTCATTTTATCCATATTTTCGTCAGATTTCAGAGGAATCGGTTTGAAGAGTATCTGATCTTCTTGAACACCTGGCGTAGGTGTTCTTCTGCTGGAAGCTGTCACTTGTGCGTACGATTTAGAATCTTTTCCATCCAATTCTGTTGATTCCTCAATTTTCTCAGCAACAGCAGTCTTCGTTCTTTCCTTTTCATTGTCACTAGTGTCAACAGAAGGCGTTTTTGCTTCAGCATTGCTCTTCTCTTGCTTCGTATCTTTCTTCCTTTTCTCTTTCTTTTCTTCTTTCGTCGGTTTCTGCTGTGCTGGTAGACTCTGAGGTACTTCAGGTACAATTTCTGCTACCTGCTCCAGTTTTTCAGCTTTCGGTGCTTCAGGTATCACTTCTTCAGACGTGACATTTAAGGTTTGCAAATTTTCTTCGGGAATATTGGTCGTTTCGGTTGTTCCTTTCATGCTGACAACGGATGCCCATGATTTTGTGCACACTGGTGCTTGAATCTCTCCCTCAGAGGGTTCTTTTACTTCTTCTTTAGGAACTTCTTTCATTTCTTCCTTAGGACTTTCTTTTACTTCCAGTTGAATCTCTTCCTTCTTAGCTTCTTGTGGAAGAACTTCAGTTAAGCTTTCTTGAGGCACTGTTGGGATTTCAGGTCCTTTCTTCGATTTTCCTTCACGTTTTTTCTTTGATTCTGGAGAACCGACTTCTTGCTTATCTTGTTTCTTTGCTTCTTTCTCTGGAGTAGACTTAGCTTTAGCTTCAGGCTTCTCTTTTTGTTGCTTCTGCTTTCCTGGTTTCGCTGGAGCTTTCGTTTCTTCTTTCTTAGCATTCTCTGCAGCTTTAGAATTGTCTTCTTTCACTGGAGATTGAGGTGCATTTGTATCTATAACTTCAGCCTCTTTCTCTTCAATTGTTTGCTCTAATGCTTTATTGTTTGCCAATTTCTCGGTTGTTTCTTCTATAACAATAGATTCTTGTGGTTTCATTGGTTCTTCTCTGATCAATTTTTCTTCTTTTGCTGCTTCCTTAAGATCTTCTTTTTTCTTAGATTCTTTAGAAGCTTTCTTCTTCTCAGAAGCTGCTTTCTCCACAGGTTTCTTTTCCTTTTGTTCCGTAATAGTCTGAGTTTCTGGTGCTATTTCTTGCTTCTTTTTCTCTGCTTGTGTTTCCTTGGAAGTCTTCTTCTTCTCAGAACCAGGTTTCTTTTCTACAACTTTTTGCTCAGTCACTGCTAGAGTTTCTGGAATTATTTCTTCCTCCATTTTCTTTGATTGTACTTCTGTAAGTTCAACTGCAGGTTTCATTTCCTCTTCAACACTTGGTTCTAACGCAAGGAATGTTTCCTCTGCCAGAATACTTTCTTCGAACATTTCATCTTCCTTCTGATCGCTACTTTGCATGTTCGATGCTCTAGCTTCTTCTCTAAGGAACTGTTCTATAGTCTGTGGCACATTCTTAGCTCCAATAACTCTAACATCTTGCTTCTCGAAGAACTCAGTCTCTTTAATCGACATTGGAACTTCCATTTTAACTTTAGCTTTCTCACCTTTCGGTTGCTTCTCTTTTTTTGATTTTTCCTTTGACTTCTTATCAGACACTTGTTCCTCCTTCTGTTTCACCTTTTCTTCCACTTTCTTCTCAGCTAAATTCTTCTCTTTCTTAGCTGTATCCGTTACTTCGTCATCAACAAACGCTGCTGCGTGCAAAATTTCGTCTGTGCTATTAATTATTGCAGTCATTTCTCTAATAGTTTCAGCAACATCTTTGATAAGAGGAGACTCTGAAAATTCTTCAGCTGTTTCTTCTTTTACAACTTCTTCTATTTTCAAAGGTTGCTCTTTTTCTTTCCGAACTTCCAATTTCGCAGGTCGTCCCTCTTTCGTCTGAACCTTCATTAATTCCTCAGCTTTATTTTCTTCTTTTTGAACTTCTTCTACTTTAACAGGTTGCTCTATTTCTTTTTGAATGTTGTCTACTGTTTCCACAGGTTGTTTTTCCTTTTTCTCAACTTCAAACATCGCAGATATCTCTTCTTTCGCCTGAACCTCTGCTAATTCCTCAGCTTTCTTTTCTTCTTTTTGAACTTCTTCTACTTTAACAGGTTGCTCTTTTTCTTTTTCCTCTATCTCTACAATTTCCACAGGTTGTTTTTCCTTTTTCTCAACTTCAAACATCGCAGATATCTCTGCTTTCGCCTGATCCTCTGCTAATTCCACAACTTTCTTTTCTTCTTTTTGAACTTCTTCTACTTTAACAGGTTGCTCTTTTTCTTTTTTCTCTATCTCTACAGTTTCCACAGGTTCTTTTTCTTCTTTCTCAACCTGTTCCTCAAATTCCTCCAAAGGAGCAGGCACATCTTTCTTCTCAGCCTGCTTAGATTTCACCCACTGAGCTTCTAATTCATAGAACATGCTAACAGGATACTTTATAGTCTCGTCAATCAGCGCCATCTTTCTATTCTCCACCTCAGTTGTTTCTTCGTCCTTCAATTCCTGCTTTTCCTCCTTAGGCTTCCTCATGATCGCTTCCTGAACGATTCTCTCGATGCTCTTAGCTCTTGGAGGTGTGCAAGGAGGTGCATTCTCTTCCACTACCTTCACCACTTTGAAACACTTGTAGAAATTACTCTCAGCCTCCGTGTAAGGATGATAATTAAACCAGTACGGTTTAACCAAGTCCGCGTAATAACAAGAAATAACATCTATCTCTTTAGGTTTAGAATCTTCAAATTTAACAAAAACTTCAGCTTGTTTCTCGTCGTCAGCCGATTTTCCCTTAACTTTCGTCGGTTTACTTTCAACTTCCTTTTGTAGAAGTTTTTCTTTAACATCGGAAGCAATTTCTTCCGTAACTTTCTTTTTAATATTAGAAGATTTCTCTTCTGCAACATTACCCTCACTTCCTACAATTACTTTCGCAATTTCTTCTGTTTTCTTCATTTCTTCTGAAACTTCCTCTTTAATATCAGAAGACTTCTCTTCTGCAACATTACCCTCACTTCCTACAATTACTTTCGCAATTTCTTCTGTTTTCTTCATTTCTTCTGAAACTTCCTCTTTAACACCAAAAGACTTCTCTTCTACAATTTCATCTTTCTTTACCTCCACAACACTCTCTACAACTACCTTCGAAATTTCTTCCGTTTTCTTCATCTCTTCTGAAACTTCCTCTTTACCATCAGAAGGTTTCTCTTCTACAACATTACCTTCACTTCCTACAACTACTTTCGCAATTTCTTCCGTTTTCTTCATCTCTTCTGAAACGTCCTCTTTAACACCAGAAGACTTTTCTACTCTAATTTCATCTTTCTTTACCTCCACAACATTACCTTTACTCTCTACAATTACCGCAATTTCTTCCATTTTCTTCATCTCTTCCGAAACTTCCTTAACACCAGAAGCCTTCTCCTCCACAACTTCATCTTTCTTTACCTCCTCAACATTACCATCACTCTCCACAACTACCTTCCCGATTTCTTCTTTTCCAAGAACCTCAGCCTCCCCTTCATCCTTCACCCTACCCTCCTCAATCTTACACTCGTCATCTCCCCTCGATTTCCCCATCGAAACGATCGCGTCCCGTTCCTTCTCTATCACACGAATCTCGCGTTCGTCATTCTTCGCGTTTCCTACAGACATAGCCGACAATGGAGTCCCAGAACGACCTCTCCGCCTATCCTGAACGCTACCAAACAGAACTGGCTGACCGTCTTCGCCGAGACTGTCGATATATACCGCGTAATCAGAACTCGACAGCCCTGTGTCCGAGGCTAACTTCTCTACCAATGACGCTTTCGAGGGGATACCAACAGCTGAATCATCCGATACCCTAGCATATCTGGTGGTTAGGCTAGCTTCTACTGTTTCGGGACGCAGGGTGATTAGTTCAGTGGGTTTGGAGCCTACGATCTTGGGTAAGGGGATGCTTTCTAAGATCTCTACGGATTTCACGGATTTCACGTTCGGCGGTTTCACTTCCATAGACCCGGGCATGCTGGTCGTAGTTGTCACCGTGGTTACCGTTTTCTCGATGATCAACGCTTTGCCTGTCGTCGACGAGGAATTGTCCTCGACCGAGAAACTTCTGTCTAAAACGGTCTCTTCTTTTACCAATGGTTTCTCGATCGAATCATGCGATTCAGATTTTGTCTCGTCTGACAATTTCGCAACAGGGAATTCTTCAGGTGTTTTCTCGGGAGAACTGTCTTTAGCTTCAGCTGTTGGAGTCTCAGGTTTTAACGGTGTCGGTACTTCTTCGGTTAGTTTTTCTAGCGGAACTTTGCTAATTTCGGTTACAGCGGTGTCTTTGACTGCCTTCGTGTCTGTGTCGGGATTTTTGGGAATTGTGTTTTGTTCCAGTTGCTGTAATTCGAGGGTAATCTTGTCTTTCATCTCCTGCTTCTTCTTCTTCTTTTTGTCAGCCTTTGGTGTACCTGATTGACTGGTTTTGGGCTCTTCTTTTTGTTCAACTGCAGGAGTTGGGATTTTTTCCTTTGGTTTGCCTGCTTTTTTAGGGTTCGATGGTGCTCCTGGAGATTCTGGTTCATCGAGTTTAGGTTTTGCTTTTGGAGCTTCGGGAAGAAGAGTTTCTTCTTTCCTTTCTTTGTCAGAGACTTCGACACTTTCGCGTGCTTTTGATTGCTGTAAAGCTTCTTCTTTGACAAGTTCGATTAGGGTATTGACAATTTCTGCGGTTTTGTCGTCGGGAGAAGTCATTTCTGCACCAGGTTGAGCATTAGTTTCGAGTGGAATATTAAGAACATTCTTATCTTCCTTTTCTTCAGTTTGAATTGTACCAATTTCCTCTTTAACTTCAGTGGTTATTTCTTTCTTCTCTTCTGTTACAGATATTTGTTTACTCTCATCGATTTTATCACTATCTTTATCTAATTTCGGTGTTAACTCTTGTATTTCTTCTTTTATCTCTGGTTTCTTTTTCTCTTCTATGGGTGATACAGATTTGGAACTTTCTTCTTTCTTTGCTGTTACAGGAGATTTAGATTTCTTACCCTTTCTCTTATCTGACTGTCCTTTAGCAGGCATCGCAGGTTCTTCAGGTTTCAAAATTTCTTTCTTCGATTCCTCTGCAACAATTTTCTCGTCTTTAACAGGTTTTTCTTCGACAATCTTTTCTTCTTTCTCAGGAACATCTTTCGTTTCAGGTGTTAATTTCTGACTGACTTCAGGTTCTTTCTTAGATTTCTTTCCACCTTTCGCTTTAGCCTGTTTCTCTGGCTCAGCTTCTTTCTTTATTTCTTCCTTTGGCACAGAATCTTTCTTCGAGTCTTTGATATCGACTTTCTTCTCAGAAGGTTTCTCTTCCATTTTCTCCTCTTTCACCGTACTTTCCTGCGTAATTATTTCCGATTTCACGATCTCGTCAATTTCAACTGATTTCTCAGCTTCAGTAACCACCATCGCAGACTCTATTGCGCGTTCAAGTTCGCTGATTACAGCCTTCTGTTCTTCCTCAATGTCTATCTTCGCCTCTACTTCCTGTTTCCTTTGATCTTTCACTTCGTCCTTCCTTTTCTTCTCTTTCACGTTCACCCTCTTATCTTTATCATCTTTCGCTGCTTTTACTTCAACCTCAGCTTCAATTTCTTCCTTTTCAATCGGTTTCGCATCTTTCTTCACCTCTAACTTCTCCTCAGGTTTTGCAATTTCTTTCTCTCTCGATTGCTCCACCTTTCTCTCTTCTTCCTTTGCTTTCCTCACGTCTTTCTTCTCCTGTTCCTTCTGTTGGCCCGATTTCTTAGCCATCTGATCCTTCGAAGACTCTTGCTCGTTCACCTGTTTCTGCTTTTTACCTTTCTTCGATTTCTCCTGTTCTTTAGGCTTCACTGGTTCATCAGCCTTAACTTCAGCCTTCTCCTTCGACTCAGCTCGTGCTTTGTCCTTCGATTCAGCTTTATCTGCTTTCGCAGGCTTCGCAGACTTCGCGTCTTCCTGTTTCTTCACTGGTTCCACGTTTTCTACATTTTTGGCTACTTCAGGTTTAACGTCTTTCTCTTTCTTCACTTCTGATTTGTCTTCGACAGGCTTCTTTAATTGCTCTGTGTCAGTTTCAGTCTTCGTAGGTTTAGTATTGTCTCGATTGGGCTTGTCTTTCGCTGCGCCAGGTTGTTCTTTGCCTCTCTGTTTCTTCTTCGAAGCAGATTCCTTCTGAGGTTTCTCTTCCTTCGCTTCAACCTTTCTCGTTTCACTAGCAGAGTCTTTTGACTCGTCCTTTCGAACTTCAGCTTTCGTTTCTTTAGCAGCTCTAACGTTATCCTTGGTATTCTTCTTCTCCGAATCTTTCTCTTCCTTGCTTTCTTTCGTATCATCCTTTGCTTTAACCTGTTCTTTCACTGTAGATTCTAGTTCATCCTTATTCCTCGCTCTACCCTGCTTCTTCTTCTCACTCGACTTCGCATTCTTCTTCTCGCTTTCTTCCTTAGGCTTCTCCATCGCAGCTGGCTCTTTACTCTTACTCTGTTCCCTCGACTTGTCCCTCTTTTTCTGCTTATCCATATCCTCGATCTCCTTCAAAGCCTTATCAATCTCATCGTCCACCGACTTCTCCGTCTTCTTCTTCCTCGGCTTTCTCTTCTTCTCCTGAGATCTGCCCCTCTGCCGAACCTCCACCTTCTCCTCTTTTTCATCCTGTCTCTGAACCTCAACCTCTCTCTCCTGTCGAACCTCCTCCACCTTCTGAACCTCAGCCTCACCGATCTTCGAAACCACCTTAGAAACACCAGATTCCTCCACACCAACTACCTCTTTCACCTCCAACTGCCTGAACTGCTCCACGTTACCCCTAACCTTCTCTTTCTGAGGCTTCTCCCTCGGGTGCTCGGGTCCTCTGCGAGCTCTCTTCTCAGGAATCTTCGACTTTGGCGCATCCTGGTGTGTCTTCCTCGTCTCTCTCCTCCTCGTAGTGTCCCACTCCTGTCTCGCCTCCTGCTTAGTCACAGAGGACTCTCGAACCTGCCTCGCCTCCTGCTTAGTCACAGAGGACTCTCGAACCTGCCTCGCCTCCTGCGGAGGACTGTTCTCGTGCACCGAGGAAGTCGTCGAATTTACAGGCGATCGAGAACGTTCCTTCACCTGTCTCAACGCTAAAGTCGTCGCTGCCCAAGGTTGCGCACTCGTGGTTGGCGTTGGTTTAGGACTGAGCCCCTGTGACAAGATCTGAGCGTACGAGAACGTCTTGCTCTCACTCGAAGTCGCAGGTTTTTGCTTCACAGTTGCTGTCTCTGAAGCTGTCACAGGTTGCTGCACAGGTTGCTCCTGCTCCACGGGTTTCTCAGGTTCAGACACTTCAACCGGTTGAACAGCTGGTTGAACGACAGACTGAGCAACAGGTTGAACGACAGACTGAGCAACAGGTTGAACGACAGACTGAGCAACAGGTGGATCCACAGCAGGAGGATCCACAGCAGGTGGAGTTTGACTAGGTAAACACTTCTCTTCGACGTTCTGCACCACAACAGGCGGATTCTTCGGAGGATTCTTGTACTTAGGCTGATGAGGCTTCTGCTGAGGCTTCTGCAACGGATTCTGCTGGTAAATCTCCGGCTCTGGGATGTAACTAGGCTGTGCAACGTACTGTTCCGTAGGGAAACTGATCTGACTCTCGGTGTAATGAGGAAGAGCGATCGGTTGAGGCGGTGCAGCCGGCATGTACACGTAAGAACTGACCGGATAGGCTATCTGAGACCCGATGAATCCCACCAATTCCGGAAGAGGCGGATGGATATAATTGTAGACTTCGGAAACTTGTTGCGGCACCGGTCTCGTCACGTTCTCGTAATTCTTCTCGTTCATCAAGACATACTCCTCCATAGACTCGTCTGCCCAACTAGTCGGCGTCTCTCTCGACTTCTCGTGAGATTTCACCGCAGAAGGAGTGACTTCTGGTGCTACTTCAGCTACCACTTCAGTTTGTTGCTGCGGATAATTCTCTACTGTCACTTGTTGACTAGATTCCTCCACGCTAGTCTCTCCAGAAACCTCCAATTCCTCGTCAACTTCGACTCTAGGCACCTTCAAATCGACATTCTCCCCCTGAACACTTTCCACGGAAGACTCCTCGAGCACAGTGTCCCTGATCTCTCTACCAACGACACTCGCGTCTTTGCCAGTCTCCACCGAAGGACTCCTCGAAGTTTTCCCTCTCAGAATATCAGCGTACGAGGTGGAACCTGGCACCCAGATAGGACTAGCCGATCTTCCTCTCCTCTCTTCCTTAGGTGCCAACGTGTTCCTCAGTACCATTGGTTCTCTCCTCTGTTCCAGCACTCTCGAAGTATCCACCGGGTTTTCAGTCTCCGCAGATGGATTCCTCTCGCGACTTTCTCTTCTGATCTCTGTCGCAGCTTCTTTTCTAACGGAACCACCTCGTCTAGATTGAATTCTACTCTTGCTGTCCACAGAATCGACTTTAGAGACATGTCTAGTTGCTTCGATTTTGATCTCTGGCTCCCTTTGTTCAGGCACCTCCTCGACTTTACTCTGTTCTTCCTTCGCTCTCGTCTCTGTCTGCTTCACAGCCGGCTGTTGTTGCGTAACGTTGTCGCGGACAGATTCGACGACAGGCGGCTGTTTCTGGATCTCGTTGTTGGTTCTCGACAATTGCGCGGTAGGTCTGAACACCTGAATCGCGAGCGGCGTCGGCGCAGCCTCGTCTCGAGGATTTCTAAAGGGACTAGAACCTCTAGAGTTTGGACTGGTGCGACCAGCAGCGATGTCAGCGTACGAGACCTGATTGACCAGCCTGGTCTCGTTGTTCTGTACATAGTACGGGTCCACGGTGTATATCTGATCCAGAAGTAGCTTGACACGTTGGCTCCAATCGTCCATCCTTTGCTGCAGGCTCTGCTTTATCCGCCCACGGAGGAACAGCCAAGGCACAACAATGGAATACACATACGGTCAATTTTCTGGGAGTCTCTTTATATAATTTTTTTTTTGGTTTGCATTTTATTTCATATTTTTTTTCTATCAGGTATATATATATAGATTTGTTTGAGTTGTTCAAATGGCGGAGTGAGAAATAAAAGAAGATGTTAAAAAAGGGGAAGAAGGGGGATGTTTCTTTTCTCGAGGGTTAGGTTAGGATTGTGAATTCTCTC